ATACTCAATCAACAAATTTATCATAATTATTGTAATGATAAACATACAATCGCATTTGAGTATTTACTTTCAAATATTACTAAAACGTTTATCAGTAAAAATAAAGAATTAAATGAATTTATACTTGGAATATCCAAGTCAGTTTCTACTGATATTTTAATTAGAAGAATTGATGTTAGTGATTACCATATTGGATTGTTTGAAACTTTAATTGTACCAAGAACAACTAAAATCATTAATGAATACCAAGAAAGGATTAATAATGTTAAATATTTGTGTGATGATAACAACAAAAAGGATATTGAAAATATTAAAACTACTTTATTGATAAGAGAGAATTTTTATTGGTATGAATTAGATGAATATCAAGTGAATATATTTGATAATAAGTTTTTAAATAAGATTAGACAAAATGTTGTTAATAATGCATGTAAATCTGGGCTTGTAAATAAGTTTAATGATTTATTTTCAGTTATTGAATTTAAGTATAAAAAAACCCACATCAAAATGTCATTATTTCAATTTAATATATTTACCACTTTAATTAAACCCACATTCACTAATTTAACTATCAAATTACAATATGAGAAATTATTAAATAGTAATCTTATTCATGAGAAAGATGGACATTTAATTCAAGATATTGATGTTGGACGTACTGATTCTATTGATTGTTTCCTTTACAAATCTGCTAAAAACGATTCTAATAAGATTTTAAATTTAAAAATTAAAAATGATGAGGTTAATTATGAACTGGTAATTGAAAGTAAAATATGTAAATTTCTTAAAATTCATAAAGAGGTAAAAATAAATGAACTAAAGTCAGTATTTAATTACTGTGAAGACTTAGATGAAGTTATTAAAAGATTAGAAAATAAACTAATTGTAGTTGTTAATAATGATAGAATAAGAATTGATTAATAAATTTATTATTGAAAAATCAATAATTCTTGTTTTTAATAAAAAAATAGTTTTGCGGTATGGAAAAAGTAAAAGATAAAGATAAAAATGTTAAAAAAAATAAAAAAGTGGTAGTTGATGATAGTAAATTTTCAGAGAAAACTTTAGAAATAGAATTGAACAAAGAAGATAAGAAAAATAAAGACAACCTATCAATGTTTCAAAATATTAAGAAAATAAACGTTAACTTAGATGATACAGCTGTGGAAAATGAAAAAATAAAAAATTTGATTAATATTAATATTTCCGATTCTGGTGATAGTGATTATTCAGAAGTAAACATTAATATTAACACAGAGACGTTAAAATCATTAGCGGTGTCAATTTTAGGAATTGGTACACTTTTAAGTAAAGACAATATAATTAGTATAATAGAAAGTGTAATAAGCTACTTTTTAAAAAGTACAACAGCTAATCCTACAAATATAGCACAAGGAGAAGCACCTAAAACTGGTATTATTCACACCATTGCTAGTTGTATATTTTTTGTATTACTCACAATAATAATTAGTTATATCATTCTTAAAGTGATACAACAATATAA